GTGGCTAGGGCTATATGTTGGCCTTCCAGCCAACCAGAGGTTACCCTGAGACCAACTGGTCCACCCTGGCTCCCTTGTTCCCCAGAGACAAGTACCAGGTATTTGACTCAGCGCCAAGGGGACTGCTGCGAGTGGAGGAGCTGGAAGACCAGGGCCAAACATTGGCTAATGTGTTCATCCTTCGACTGCTGGAAAATGCAGATGACCGGGAGGCCACCTACATGTTGAAGGCATCCTCCCAGTGAGTATCCAGTGCCATGAGCCACACCCAATGCCACTCAAAGGTCAGTCTTTCCTAGATAAAACAGGCCTCAACATACATCTGTAGGAGGTTGGCTTCCACTCAGCACCCGTCTTTCCCATGGGGAGCCTGTATAGAGGGCGTTTGCAGCCTCTTCGTGTTGAGCTGTGGATGGCAGGGGATGGTCTGGGTTCATGCATGCACAGCAGAGCAAGTCCATCTTGTAAAATGGGGTGCCTGCAGCTGATATGCCAGTGAGACACTGTCCTCCTCTTCCCCCTTTGTTCACTCTCTGTGTGGCCTCCAGTCCTCCACTCTCCCATGCCTGAGCAATCAGGGCAGCTACTTCACAGCCCACACTTGGGGGATACGTTAGACAGTAGGAATTGCTTGGTAGACCATGGAGCCCTGCCTTTCTCCTGCCCTGCCCAGGTCATCTCCCCTCCCTCCTCTGTGCTCTGCTTGCCTCACCCCACCAGGAATTGTCCCCTGCCCTGCTGAGGCCCCAGGCTCTAGTTCACAGGATTAACAGGAGGTGGTGACAACATCTCCAGCTTTGCCGCAGAGATACTTCACTATAACACACCTTTTGAGAGCTAGCTTTCAGAAACTCATAGATGGCTCTTCACACCATCAGACGGCTTCAAACCGCTAGCCTGGGAAGAATGTGCAAGAGCTCACTGTGCAGCTAACTGAGCTGTCCTGGAGCCAGGCTCAGAATGTAGCTGGCCTGGGGGCCCAAGTGCACCCCACAGGGTGGAGTTTGTTGGTTCTGAAGTTGTGGCACTCTGTCCCTTCCCATGCAGGAGTGAGATGAAGCGTTGGATGACTTCGCTGGCCCCCAACAGGAGGACCAAGTTCGTGTCCTTCACGTCCCGGCTGCTGGGTGAGTCCCTGACTTAGAAAAGGAGGCTCTCCGTCTTCTTTGACTAAGACTCACTGGGCCTCAGCTTCAGGGTTCCTACTGCCTGTAGGACTGCACTTCTGCCCCACAGAAGCCCGTCCTGGTACCAAGCAGAAGCTCAGTGCCTGTGTACACTGGCTGCCTAAGCATCTCTCCAATTGCATGGTTAAGGGAGAAATGCAAGTCCCAAGTCTTAAGAGCCAGGTGGCAGAATATTGGACCCAAACTCCAGTGTTCTTTTAGATTTTCCAGTTGTCTAAAAACTCATACAAGACCCAACGGAGTATGAGCCTGGCTACCTTGTGAAGAAGTGTCCCAGCCTGCTGGCTTGTCCTTGTCCCAAGCTGCTTACTGGGTCACACCTGAGAACAAGAGGTTCTTCCTGCCTTCTAGGTTGAGATCTGCATTTTAGCTATCAGATCCTTTCCCCAGATTCCTGGTAGTCTAATAATGTGAGCACCTCCTCCTCAGATAGGACCTTTCTCCCTCATGTGCTGTCCCAGGTCCTGTTTTAGACAGGACTCAGCCACCTGCTGCTGGCAGCATTGTTTCTGGCACCACTGCCTGTTGTCCCTGCTTGTCTGGATGTGGGGCAGGGTAGAACCTGTGATGGGGACACGCCATACCACTCTCCCATCCTGCAGACTGTCCCCAGGTCCAGTGTGTGCACCCGTATGTGGCCCAGCAGCCTGATGAGCTGACGCTGGAACTAGCAGACACCCTGAACGTCCTGGAGAAGACGGAGGATGGTGAGGCTCCCAGGGGACTCTACATCTTGCTAACCACGCCCCTCAAAGGAGAGGAAGACTGATAGTCTGGGTGTAGGACTAGAAGTCACAGTTAGCAGGTGGGCAGGCAGAACCCAGCATCCTTGCTGGCACTGGTACTACCCAGGGCATCCTGCCTAGCACTGGGCCCAGCATCCCTTGGTCTTTCCTCAGACTTCTGGGTCTTCATTCTACTCTGTGAACTGTGAGGCTCCTTCCCCTTCCAGCAGGCCTAGTATGTGGTTCTCTGTCTCCTCCCCAGACTCGCCTATACCTCAGCCCTCCCCTAAGTGGAAGCTTGACCCTGACCTCAACTTGTTTGTTCAGAGTTTCTGATGGCAAATAGGGTATGACTGTGACTACCAGGCCAAAAAGCCCTGTTCCTGCCCATCCTGTGGGTGGAAGGTAGAATTAGCTCCAAAAGGATTTTTTTTTTTCTGTAGCCCTTGCCCAATTTAATCCCAACGTAGCCAGTGTGGCAATCCCCACTTTTGTGTATTAACTGTTCCTGGTGAAGATCCTAGGAGTAGCTGGGTATCATGGCACACACCTGTCATTCCACCATTCAAGAGGCAGAGGCAGAAGAATCCCTGAAATTTTGTGAGTGGCCTAGGCACAGTGTGAGAACCCGATGTCATTGCAACAGAGACAATCAAAATACCCGAGGAGAACAAAGGCCCCTTCCTGTCCCCTCCTTTGTTCCACGTCATATTTAGAAAACCAAGTGATCTCCACAGCATCCCCCTGGGGGTCCCAGGGACCCCTCCCCCCGCCCTTTCCCCAGCATAACCTGGGGAAAGGGCTAAACAGCCTGACCTGGGTAGGGTCAGGCTGTTTAGCAACAAGCATGGCAAAGACTTCTAGGAGAGGTGAGACAGCAGAGAAAAAGGTCAGGGCACTTGGGGACTCAGGGTAGTCCCAGTTCATAATGCTACCCACCCAAGCAACCACTTGGCCCTCTGGGTGAGATTCTGAAAGGATATGCCCCATGAGAGGGCGAGCTCACTGTCCGGGTTTGGTAATTAAGTGGTCAGCTGTCTCCTATACTGGTCCCCTGGATACCTCATTTAGGGTTGGCTATTTCAAATCTTCTGTCCTGGTATGAGACAGCCTCAGAACATTCAGAAATAGGCTCCCACTTGGGGGAGACCCTAAAGCCTGGGTCTTCACACTCCATGCGCTTTAGCAAACTGTAGGAGCAACCCAAGCTTAGATGGATTGCCAAGCCACTGCTCTTTGGGAAATGCTGAACTCCTGAGTGTGGCTCAAGCCTTGCTTCCCACACAAAGGGAAGCCCTAGCTAAGGAAGCCCCAGCCTTGCCTCACCCTGACCCTACTGACTCCTTTGCAGGGTGGATCTTCGGAGAGCGCCTACATGACCAGGAGAGAGGCTGGTTTCCCAGTTCCATGACAGAGGAGATCCTGAACCCCAAGATCCGCTCCCAGAACCTCAAGGAATGTTTCCGGGTCCATAAGATGGAGGACCCTCAGCGAAGCCAGAATAAGGACCGCAGGAAGTTGGGCAGCCGGAATAGGCAATGAACTCCAGCTCAGGCACCAGCCTGAAGGAGGGGTGTGGACAGGAGGCGGGGGAGCAGGCCCAACAGAGAACCCCGACAGACACAGAGGGTCTTAGGGAGGAAAGGCCAGTGCCTTCCTTGGCATCAGGAGTGTCTTGGGCCTGCACTGCCCCTGCCTACACAGTGGGGGCACTAGTGTCCTGGTCACTCACTTGCTTATACACTGGTGAAAGGCTAAGTATTTTAAGCAGTATTACACCACCTCCTTTCCAGCCCCTCAGAGCTAGAAGAGGGTAGGCATGCTCCAGAGACCTTCCAGTGACTGGAAGAGGCCCACACAGGGGTTCCTGGCCCGAGGCAGACAGGAGGTGACTACTGTCAGGTCCCCTGAACTGCACGTGTCCTTCCCTCCTTAGGAAGCTGTTAAGAGTCTACCAGGCACACCAATGGGCCACCCCTGCCTGAGGGAGCTTGGTGAGCAGTGCTGATGCTGCCCGCCCCTCCCTCCGCCTCTGCCAGCCTCTCTTGCACGGCCAAGCCCTGCCCTCAGCAGGCCTCCCAGAGCATGGCTGAGGGTTCATGCCTCTGGCTCCTTGAAGGGCTAGATGTCACTTGTGTCTCCCGGCCCCTGAAGGAGCCCAGGTGTTTTGCAGAATGAATTGATCACTGCATCCTTTATGGTCATGGTTTTGAGAAAAGCAAATATCATTTTTGGCTGCATTAAAAGAAGCATCCTGTATAGAATAAGGGACGGAGGCCTATTCTCTATCGCCCTGAGCAATGAGGCATTTGGCTCTGGGTTGGGAGGGAGGAACAGCCTTCCAGGCCGGCAGGAGAAACCTCTCCCAGAGGAGCAGCCTGAAGACACAAACATCAGGTCTCAGAACGGGAATGATTTGGGCCTCTGCTTGTGGATGGACTCAAGAAAAGACTCTCTGCAAGAATGGGGGCCCCTCCTGCTGCTGCTGCATACGTACATATTTCCAAAGCCACAGGGACTCTTGGGTATCAGTAAGCAGTGACCCTTTAGGGGATCTGACCCCAAGCCTGGGACCCAGACTCCCTACCTGCTCCTGACTTTGGCCTCGGATGTTCCATTGTGCCCCAGAAGTATCTGGTTCCCCTAGAACTGTTGTTCCTGCCCAGCCACCCATACTCACTCCTGTTTCTACCCCAGAGTGTCCACCCCATTTCTGTCCTAGGGAAGTGTCCAGGGCACTGTGCATCTGCCAGAAGATGGTCTACACCAAAACGGGCCTTCTGTTTGTTTGGTCTCCCAGTATAGCCCAGATTGGCCTTAAAGTCCAAGTCCCACCTCAGCCTCCTAAGTAGGCATTGCAGGCATGTCTCACCGTGCCTGACCCAGAGCCACTGGGCTTTGTGAATCATCTCACAGACTACAGCAAAGTTGTTGGTGATCTTGAGACCTCAGACCCTGAGCATTCCTGGACGGAGATGACCCCTAGCCACACTGCAAACAGAGGGCCACAGCTCCTACCCTGGCCTACCTGGTGGTCTCATCTCCACCCCCTCCCAGTTCTATCCCAGAGGGCTCCCCAGCTTCTGGGTCATCTGGAAAAGGAAGAGCAGCCCCAGAGAGAACATAGACACAAAACCCAGGCCCAGGAGTGTGTGTGCTTGGAGATAGGGAAGTTCTGAGCCTGGGAGGAAGGGGTGAAGACACAGGACTGAGGTTCTGAATTAGGCTGTGGTCCTCCCTGCATCGTCAAAGTCGAAAGCCTCTGTTACCCCACCCCGTCAGTCCTCCACCATTTCCCAGTTAGTCTCAAGGAGTAAGATGAACCTGGCTCAAGCTCTCCTGCTCTACCTCCCCCAGACCCTCCCTTCAGGAGGGAAGCATAAGGGGCCAGGAGTTCGGTGGCCCTA